CCCCCCGCCTTTCCGCTTACCGCTCTCGGTACAATCCCGGTCCGCCCGGACGGTGTGGAAGCCATCGACGGAGAAGTTCAGGTCCGTAATGTCCCTGTGCAGCCATGTCTCAGTGAAACACATCAGACTGCACTCTCGGTACTCCATGTTGCGCTGCGTTAGTGCCGTTAGCTTGTCCATTTTGTTGCTAAGAGACCGTACATTTCCCATAACAACAGAGGAGAGACAAGGCTTAAATCTTCTCCTCTCCATAAGCCCGTCCTGTCTCGACCCTCCTCTCTTCCCACGTCATGGTCCACCTGATCCCTCCTGAGGACTGCTGTATACCATCACGCACCAGGGTGAGTTCACAAAGACAAGCCCTGGTTCACAGCCAAACTCAGTGCAGAAGGAACAAGCATTCAGGAGTGGAGACAGGGACAAGTTTAGCAAGGCGGTGAGAGAAGCTAAATGTCAGTACTCAGCCAACGACTCTGGTTCTGTCTGGAAGGGGCTCAGACAACTACAAGCCCAAAACCCCCCACTCCATCAACGACTTGCGCCTGGCAAATGAGCTGAATGGTTTCTACTGTTGCTTCGACAGACAAAGGAGCAGTCCTGACACCTTCCCTGACAGCCCTGAATAGCCCCACCTCACCAGTCCCTCCCCCCCAGCTCAGCCGGGGCCACTCCACAACTTCACACCTATGTGAATCCCTCCTCCTCCACCACAGTGATGACTCTCTGCCTACAAGAGAGGGACGTTACCAGGCTCTTTAAAAGGCAGAACCCCCGCAAAGCAGCCGGACTAGATTCTGTCTCTCCATTCACCCTGAAGTACTGTGCTGACCAGCTGTCTCCGGTGTTCACTGACATCTTCAACACCTCATTGGAGACATGTCATGTGCCAGCCTGCTTCAAGTCATCCACCATCATCCCTGTCCCCAAAAAACCAAGGACCACAGGACTAAATGACTACAGACCTGTTGCCCTCATCTCTGTGGTCATGAAGTCTTTTGAGCGCCTTGTGCTTTCCCACCTGAAAGCCATAACGGACCCACTCCTGGACCCTCTGCAGTCCGCCTACAGAGTAAACAGGTCTGTAGATGATGCACTTAACATGGCCCTGCACTTCACCCTCCAGCATCTGGACTCCCCAGGAACCTACGCCAGGTTCCTGTTTGTGGACTTCAGCTCTGTGTTAAACACCATCAACCCAGCTCTGCTACAGGACAAGCTCTCCCAGCTCACTGTGCCTGACTCCACCTGCAGGTGGATCACAGACTTCCTGTCTGACAGGAAAGAGCACGTGGAAAAATGTCTCTGACTCCCAGACCATCAGCACCGGATCCCCCCCAAGGCTGCGGGGGTACTTTATTCTTGTGTGATTTATATATTTTTTTGTGTGATTGTATATTTTAAGCACCATTGCAGCAAGACAAATTCCTCATATGTGTAAAAACCTTCCTGGCAATAAATCTCATTCTGATTCTGATTCTGAGTTGGTCTGGCCACTATGCCGCCTGGCATTAGCGCGATCAGCTGTTCTCCGGAGTAAACAAAGGCAGTGTGTCCCGGTGGAAGCGGCATTGATAAAAACAAAACGAAAAAAACACGAAAAACTCTCTAAAACAACCTCGTTAGAGAGGTCAGGACTTCACAGAGTTACAGTGAAAAAACAAGAACGAACAAAAAGAGAATAAAAGTTAAGCGGACTCAAAGGCTAGAGCACGTAACAGGCAGCATGCAGCTTTCGCGCATGATCACACAATTTATTTACATGTAGGGGTGATAGGAAATGAGAGACTGGATGAATTGGCAAAGAAAGAAGAGGGCAAAGTATAGGTCAGCTTGTCTGTGTATGTGTGGTATTTTTTTATTTTATCTTATTTTAGGGGATTTAGGGTGTAATGCACCAAAAGCTCGTTGCCAACCTCTATAAAACGAGAAGAAGATGATTGTGTTAGGTCTGTTTGTTCAGGTAGTATTTTGTTTAGTTGCTGTTTAAGCACGGTTAAAATTTTGTTGACCTCTTTATAGGCATAGTATGACTTTACTGTTCTTTTACTTTTCTCATTACCTCACAGCTTGGTCCCTTTACAATATCATTATTGTGGCCATGATAATCGTGTAGTTAAAAACCGATATCTTGACAGCCCATTAGGTAAGGCTTCTCTTCACCCTTGAGAATTACCTTAATAACCTTAACGGTTTACTGCTCTCCCAGGTCTAATGTGATTGTGAGTATCTTTGTAGTATCTTTTGTTTATTACTTGGTTAATTAAAAAAAATCATCAGGAGATTGATCGATGATGAAAAAAATAATTAGATGCAATTATGGCTGGGAATTGATAAGATTTTCTTTTTTTTAAAAAGAATTTTCTGCGTGCTCTGTCTTGACCAAGACAGGTTGTTTTATCATGTCAGAGTCTGAACACAGTTTATAAACAGAGCAAAGTTTGAGTCTGAATTCAGAAGGTGTTTTTATATATTTTCTTTTCCTATCTTGAGCTGAAAAATATTGTATTTATGAAAGCTAGAGCTTGTTGTATTTAGCGATCTTGCTGCTCATCTCCCAGCTGAAACTACTGGGGCAGTAATTAAGGGCCCAGCATGCACGCATGGACAAATATATTGGCAATCACCGATTATTGGACTGACAATGACCGGTTTCAGAAGTGTTAACATATCTCCCAACCCCACTGCAGAGTAAGTGGTCATTCTCTGTGGGCTCTTCACAATGAGTTAACCTTTTACATGACACTATGTCATTTGATGGTGAATCTGTAGAGTCTGAGGGTCACAGTCCTTTAAAGGAATTGGCTCCTACACTGGGAAACAGCTTGTGGGTAGGTGGGAGGTGCATTTTGAGTGATTAATAGTAATGTACTGTATGTCTGAAGTTTGGTGGTATGTGTTGAAACGTCACATGGTATGTGGTTTGCATGTCTATCTTTGTGTATGTGTGTGTACAAGGATGGCACAGGGACACAGACCAGCAATCACTGTCAGAAAGAGAGAGAGAGAGAGAGAGAGAGAGAGAGAGAGAGAGAGAGAGAGAGGTAAATATGCAAAGGTGTTTTGGTGATCAATCAATTCCACGAAGACAGATGGACAAACAGCACCTCTAACTGATATTTCCATGCATACCTTTGTAATCAAACACAGAGAGGAGAGTACACACACACACACACACACACCTACACACCTACACACACACACACACACACACACACACAGTCAGGGCCGGGAGGAGGTCTCTGGGGTAAACAGATGTTCAGTGTGATGTGATTTGTGTGTTTTGATTTCTTGCCATCCGCTGCTGGATCCAAAATGGGCCACTATCCTGTTTCTGCTGACGGTCTCCCACAAGGCCATGCTACAAACTTTCATAGCCAACAAAGAGCCGCAGCAGCCAGTGAATTCAGACGATGTTTACATGAGCAGTAACTGTGAGGAACCACATTAAGGTTAACACTACATTGTGTGCAGTAAACCTATGGCATATAATACCAGTGTCCTATGTAACTAAAGTTTGTATATTTGTCAAATGATTGTAAATTATGGTTTTATCATTCATGTGTGCTGTTTTGTGCATATCACATGTGATTGTTTATAGCTGGATTTCTATCATTATGTAATACTAAAGCTTGAATGATTGTATTCTAGGATGAGAATTGGAACTTTAGTACACACTGTGTGGCCTTAGGAGGGGTTAGTGATTAGTCGGTAATTTGGGTTATCCAAATGACTTAAGTATGGGAAGGAGTATGTCGGATGTCAAACCTACATATAGTATTTGGAGGCCAGTTTGAACTATAAGTACCCTGCTTTGTCATTAGCACACATACAGTACTGTGAGTGGACACAAAGGGATCTGAGGATGAAGGTTCAAGTAGGCTCAACAGGGCTACATGTTGCCTTTAAGCCACCTATGTTGGCAGACACACATGGGGCCAGCCCACGTGCCGATGTGGGCCCCACATGGGTCGATATTAGGGTTGAACAATATAAAAACATCATATTACAATTATTTCAAAAGATATTGCGATATGATTCAATTAGAGGGGGAATTATAATTTTTGCATCACAAATTTAGTTTTCTCTGAAAAAAACTAATGGAGTGAAGCCTGCAAGCTAGTTCAGGCAGGTCAACTCGAGCTGCGCTGATTACACACATGACATGCCTTATTCCAAAATCACTAACCAAGCGCTCCCTTCCAATCTGGTGGTCTATTTAAACTGCACAATTTCCCAGCTCTCCTTCTGCTCTGTCAATGCTGCTGTTGCCCTGCATCCGTAGTGCTGCTGCTGCTACTGCTGCTCTGTAAGCTATTGCTGCCTGCTGTGCTGTAAGCTCCACCACCACCCCAGCATCCACCTGTAGGCTCCGACTGGGGTTTAAGGTATTTACGCATCACTCCCCAATATCTCTATGTAAACATATCTGCGGGGAGTGATGAGGTCGGAGCCTAGACGCCAAAATCTAAATATGCTATACTGCTGTAATAAACATTTGAAACGTGAGTTGGCTGACTGAACTGAAATCCTGATTATGTGAAATGTGTTGTTAGTCACTATCAAACAAACACGGTTTCTTAAATCTGGAGAACAAGATTTGTAGGCCACGGCATCCCTGCAGAACTACAGTAAATTATTTTACTTCACTTCGCTTCGAAGTACAGTTTACCTGGAATTCAGTATGACCCATATGGACTCATGGTTTTAACTCATGGACTTAAGGATTTTCCTCACTGTAAGAGTATAAAGTAGGGAATAAATAACAACAAAAAACATTGGTACCGGCATTGGGTATCGGCCAAATCATTATTTTAAACATCGGTTTTGACCTAGAATTTTCAAACCTGTGTATCCCTAGTATAAACACCCCACTGACACACACACAAATATAAAGACATTTTATAGACCCAACTATTAACGGAGGAAATAATCGACCCATTGATTGATAATGAAAATAATCATTAGTTGCAACTTAACTAATATGTCTTGTCTTACTTCAGACACATCGAGAACTGGACTGGTCTGCAGACCTTGAGGGACGTGGATATGGAGCTCTACACCGGCTTACAGAGGCTGTAAGTAGTAGCACATTCTTCTTTGTGTTTATATATGAATGCTTCCTCAACTGGTGGCTAACGACCCAAACGTGTAAAAAAAAAAAAAAAACAATTTTAATTGCTGATTTTATTTTGACAGAAAAGCTTTCACAAATGTCTGTTAAGATATAACAGCCCGTTTGGAGGCCTTACTTATTTTGTCATGTTAATTTCGTTCATATTCATTAGATTCAGCAGCATGCAGTTGTGATGTTATTATTAGTTTAATGTGCTCTGATTGCAAGCATGGTAATATATATATATTATTATTATTATTATTATTATATATTATGTTAAATAAATACAATGTCATGATATCATTATGTGTGTGTATGTGTGTGGCAGTGTAATCAATTAATTTTGGTTATCAAAGTTTATTAATTATCAAAAGATCATAGAAAATTACTTTAATTATTATTAAAGTTCCTCTCTATAATAATATTAAAGTTCCTCTCTTTAATAAAATCATATAATTCAGAAATTGGATTAATAATTAACTTAATAACTATAACCAAAATCACAATTAATAGTTAAAGTGGAAGGCTTTGGAGTTCTGCATAGAAGAAGTTGGTATCACCCACAAAATTAATTAGGCCAGCATGTATAAACACAAACATTTATTAAAGTAATAATAAATGCAAACAGACGAAAATACACTATATACAATCTAACTTAAAGGAACTAAGCTAGAGGAAAAAGTCATGTGCGCGCATGGGTGGTTGACCTTTGTCCTCTGACCAGATATTTCAGCTTAGTATAAAAAACAGGTGTTGGTGAGAGACAAAGAGCAAGAAGGGGCAAGAGGGTTTGAGTTCCCTCTCTTCATGTGTGCTGAGGTTTAGTCCGAATATGTGTGTATGTGATCGTAGATTAACAGTGCCGTTAAAAGGGAGTTAGTTCAGTTCAATTCATTTTTATTTGAATAGCGCCAATTCATAACAGAAGTTATCTCAGGACACTTTTTAAATAGAGTAGGTCTAGACCGAACTCCTTAGTTGCATGCAAAGGCGGTGTCTGTGTAAAGCATACTATTAAATATACTAACCTTAACACTGTCAGAATCAGAATCAGAAGTAGATTTATTGCCAAGTAAGTTTTTAAAAACTGTCTTGGTGCATTGGTGCATACAATATACAAATATAGAAATCATATAAAAATCACACAAAAGATACTTTTAGTATAAAGTACTTTTAAAATATAAATAAATAAATAAAGATAAGAAAGATAAGGAAACTGTACAGAAAAAGGGAGTGCATTAATGTAATGCATATATACAGGGTAGGTTTAAGAGTCAGTGTCAGTGGGGGTTCCGGGCCTTGTTAATGAGGCCAGTTGCAGACGGAAAGAAAGTGGCTTGAGGTTTCAGGGGAGTGTTTTAAAGAGTTTGTGTCTGGGGTGGGAGGGGTCAGCCACTTGCCTGGACGCCTCAGGATCCTAGAGGCATACTAGAGGGATGGCAGATTACAGCGGATCACCTTCTCAGCAGATTGAATGATACACTGCAGTCTGCCCTTGTCCTTGGCAGTGGCAGCAGCGTACCAGATGGTGATGGAAGAGGTGAGGATGGACTCGATGATGGCGGTGTAGAAGTGCACCATCATCGTCTTTGGCAGGTTGAATTTCCTCAGCTGCCGCAGGAAGTACATCCTCTGCTGGGCTTTCTTGGTGAGGGAGCTGATGTTCAGCTCCCACTTGAGGTCCTGGGTGATGATGGTACCAAGGAAGCGGAAGGAATCCACAGAGGCAGCTGGGGAGTCACATAGGATGATGGGGGCGGGCGGGGCTGGGTTCTTTCTGAAGTCCACAACCATCTCCACTGTTTTCAGAGCGTTTAGCTCTAGGTTGTTCTGGCTGCACCAGGTCACCAGATAGTCAATCTCCCATCTGTAGGCAGACTCATCTCCACCAGAGATGAACCCAATGAGGGAGGTGTCATCCGCGAACTTCAGGAGCCTGACGGACGGGTTACTGGAGTTGCAGCTGTTGGTGTACAGGGAGAAGAGCAGAGCAGAAAGAACGCAGCCTTGAGGGGATCTGATGCTGATGGTCTGGGAGTCAAAGACATTTTTCCCCAGCTTCACGTGTTGTTTCCTGTCAGACAGGAATTCTTTGATCCACTGCAGGCAGGTGGAGTCAGGCACAGTGAGCTGGGAGAGCTTGTCTTGTAGTGTTAGTGTTACTCTTATTATAAGTATTATTATAGCTACAGTTACTGTTGTTGCTGTTGTCACTGCTGATTGTCCCCCATCGTTGCTGTTGTCATGTTCATCATCATCAGTCACTACTATTAGTGTAGTTGTTGCTACTGTTGTTGCTGTGCACCTGTCTGTCTGTCTGTCTGTCTGTCTGTCTGTCTGTCTCTCTCTCTCTCTCTCTCTCTCACCCCAACTGGTCGAGGCAGACGACCACCCACCGAGAGCGGAAGGATCTGTCCTAGGTTTCTGCCTTTTAACAGGCAGTTTTTCCTTGCCCTTGTCGCCAAGAGTTTGCTCATGGTGGTACTGTTGGGTCTCTCTAAATAATGTTATAAGGAGTTCGGTCTAGACCTGCTCTATTTGAAAAGTGTCCTGAGATAACTTCTGTTATGAATTGGCGCTATACAAATAAAATTGAATTGAATTGAATTGTAACAGAGCCCACAAAGTCCACAAAAAGGATCCTGGCATAGGTTCCTGGGGACTCCAGATGCTGGAGGGTGAAGTGCAGGGCCATGTTTACTGTATCGTCTACAGACCTGTTGGCTCGGTAGACGAACTGCATGGGGTCCAGTAGTGGGTCCGTTATGGCTTTCAGGTGGGAAAGCACAAGGCGCTCAAAAGACTTCATGACCACAGAGGTGAGGGCGACCGGTCTGTAGTCATTGAGCCCTGTGGTTCCTGGTTTTTTGGGGACAGGAATAGGGTTGGGTATCGGTTGGGTTTTATCCGATACTGGTGCCTACTCAGTATTTTTTAAATGGTTCCGGTGCTTAAATGGTTCTCGAACCGGTACTTAAAAAAACGAAACCACACACACTTTGTCAAAAAACAATACCCTTTTATTTCCAGGGCCAAATTGAACACAGTATTATGAGTTTCATATTAAGCAGAAAGTCAGCGGACACTGAGTGGACATAGCACACGTTGTCACTCATGCTGTTGAATGGCAACGGTGTTTGCTAGCCTACTTGACATGCATGATTTGCGGTTGGCATTAAATTATTAGATTCACCCGAAGAGGAAAGGCTGCTGTCATCATCATCATTATCTGTGATGTCCACCACCACACTGGCAGGGCTGGGAGTCGCTTCAATTTGTCCCACGAGGCCGACACTGGCTGCGGCTGCTGAAGTATCAAACATGGTGCATTGTTCGGCTTTTGAATAAACTCCATGTAGGCCTGGGCGTTAAAAATAAAATCTCCGATTTTTTCACACCAAACCCAATTTACAATTTTAATCTATTTTTTTGTAGACTGTTTTTTAGCGGGTGTTTTTGGGCTGCGGACCTGTATATCTCACAGAGAGCAACATATCTCCCACTCGGCTGCATGCCTCTGCTTGAGGTGCTGGAATAAATTGGTCGTACTGCTACCTTTGGTTGCAACGCTGTCGGACGCCCCAAAACCAAACCAGTTCCAAACAACCGACACTGTGCCTTTTTTGGGGACGAGCTCATCCCGGCTTGCTGCCGTGTTGTGTTTGTCTGTGCAGAGGCGGGGGGAGGGTCAGCGCACTCTGACCTACGGGAGCCCAAAGGTAGTGCCGGTGTTGTGGAAGTTCAAGGAAACCGATTTTAACTAAAAATAAATTGTGTTTAACTACGAATTCGAATTAATCGATAAAATCGATTTATCGCCCAGCCCTAACTCCATGTGTCGCCAGATGTTTCATCAAATTCGACATGTTACCTCCCTTGCATGCAATTGTTTTATGGCATCTGTTTTATGTCGCAGAGTCTGCATCCTTAGACGTGTGAAATGCAGCCAAACCTTGGAGCGTTTTGCCTTCGGCTTCTTCATTGATCCTCTCACTATCAGTTCTGATCAACAAGTGTGCTGAGTAGCGGCACTGACATTGACACTGTAAAAAAAAAAGTCAGGCAATGAGGCACCGAAACGTTCGTTCTTATTCGGTCTGGTTACTACCGTTTACATCGGAACCGGTGCCCTATTGGTACTGCGTTTCAGTACCCAACCCTAGACAGGAATGATGGTGGAGGCTATGAAGCAGGCTGGCACAAGACATGTCTCCAGTGAGGTGTTGAAGTCTGTGAACACCGGAGACAGCTGGTTCACAGTGCTTCAGGGTGGATGGAGAGACAGAGTCTGGTCCGGCTGCTTTGCGGGGATTCTGCCTCTCAAAGAGCCTGTTGACGTCCCTCTCCTGGAGGCAGAGAGTTGTCACTGTGGTGGAGGAGGAGGAGGATGTGTGGAATCGTGAAGTGGCCCCGGCTCCTGCTGAGCTGGGGGAGGGGGAACTGGTGAGGGGTGTCACGGGGGATGGTGTCAGGACTGTTCCTTTGTCTGTCGAAGTGACAGTAGAACTCATTCAGCTCATTTGCTAGGCCCAAGTCGTTGATGGAGTGGGGGTTTTAAGGCCGAAAAGCAGTCGGACTGATCAGTCGGCTCCTGTCTCCCTGAGTTGGTCAAAAAAGTGCCTCTGAACACACCAAACCGACTCCGACTGGAGTGTACCTTCTGCGCGTGCGCGAGGCGTAATACGTCCCCATAACAGCATGCGGCGCTAATCTGTGTTGTCCGGAAATGACGGATCACTCTAGACCTAGTAAACACAGAGCACGCTGTCGTCAGTCATTGCTTTAATCAGAGAGTGTTGATAGTAGTCAAGAAGGATCGTTATTGTTGTTATTGATTGATGATCGCTGAACGGAAAATACGATGGCTAATAATAAAAAGATACTGGCGTTGGCGTAGTATGTTTATCATCGTCACTTCCGGTTTTCTCGTGCCCTCACTGATTCGCTTGTCAAGGGCTTGCACTCCACCAATAAGATTGGTCATTGAGGCCGACGGCCACTGGCCAATTCTACATGTCGAATCTCAGAGTACTGTCGTTTAACTTCTCTCACCACCTTGCTAAACTTGTAATTTGACTCCTTAAACTTGTCCCTGTCCCCACTCCTCAACGCTTGTTCCTTCTGCAACTGTAACTGACTGAGTTTGGCTGTGAACCAGGGCACAGCCTCTGTGTACTCATCCAGACTGTTGGTAGCAGTCCTGAAAACATCCCAGTCAGTAGAGTCCAAACACGCCTGGAGATCCCCCTGCAGCTTTACTGGTCCTCTGCGTTGATGTCCTCACAACAGGTTTACAGAGCTTTAATTTCTGCCTGTATGTAGGAATGAGGTGAACCATGACACAGTCAGAGAGGCCCAGTGCGGCGCGGGGGACAACATGATAAGCTCTGCTGACTGTAATGTAACAGTGATCCAGTGTGTTCTTCTCTCTGGCCGGGCATTTAATAAACTGGGGAGTTTGTGGTAGAGGTTTCCTTTGTTAATGTTACCAAGGACAATAACTAAAGAGTCTGGGTTAGTCCGCTCCACACACAGTATCTGGTCGGCTATCATGCACTGTGCCTACTGCACGTTGGCCTGCGGTGGAATGTAAACACCGACCAGAATGAATGAAACAAACTCACGGGGGGAGTAAAAAGGTTTACAGTTAATGAAGAAAGATTCCAGATTAGAAGAGTGGTGCTGTTGGATCACTGTCACATCATTCATACACCAGCTACTGTAGGTGTAAAAACAGATTCCTCCAATTCAATTCAATTCAATTCAATTCAATTTTATTTGTATAGCGCCAGTTCATAACAGAAGTTATCTTAGGACACATTTCAAATAGAGCAGGTCTAGAGCAGGTCTAGAGCGAACTCGTTACCACCATGAGCAAGCACAGAAGGAAAAACTGCCTGTTAAGAGGCAGAAACCTAGGACAGACCCTTCGGCTCTAGGTGGGTGGGCTTCTGCCTCGACCAGTTGGGGTGAGAAAGAGAGAGAGAGAGAGAGAGAGAGACAGAGACAGAGAGACAGATAGACAGTTGCACAACAACAACAACAGTAGCAAAACTGAACAGGCTCCTGTCAATCATGGACAATCCACTGCATCCACTGCACAGCACCATCTACAGGCAGAGGAGCAGCTTCAGCGGCAGGCTGCTGTCACTGTCCTGTTCCACTGAAAGACTGAGGAGATCGTTCCCTTTAGTTAACTATACCACCTGACGCAGTGCACCCTGCATTATGTGACCACTGACTGACTGACTGACACTACTTATGCACCTTAGGCCTTTCAAGCACTGGATTTGACCATGCACCTTAGGACACTTACCCAATGCTCGATATTTAGCTATTTATTCTATTTTATTCTATAAGTTCTTCTAAATTTGACCTCCTCTTATTATTATTATTATTATTATTATTATTATTATTATTATTATTATTATTATTATCATTATCAGTTTGTGGAAACTGCTGGAAACTGTGAATTTCCCCTTGGGGATGAATAAAGTATCTATCTAATCTAATCTAATCTAAACAACCACACTAACAGTAGATGATGACCACGACAACAGCAACAATGGGGGACAATGATCAGTGACAATAGTAATAATAGTAACTGTAGTAATAATAATTTTAATAATAATATTAACAGTAATATCAGTGATATTAGCAATGACAGTCAAGAAATACTTTGCCAGGAGTTCCGGTGTTCAGCGTTTATGGGACGTTAGCTCGTGTTCATGGTGTGCTTGACTGTTTTCACCACAACCAATAGAGCCGAGCTGTTTTCCTCTAACCATAACATTAACTTGGAGATTTTACAGAAAATACATCTTCTCAAAAACAAATGTAAATTTGATAATTATTAGGCAGTATGCATGTAAGTATGACCATCTACAGCATTTCTAAAATACAGTTGATACCAAAGGTCGTCGACATGATTTAGAGATCAGATCTAAAAATTCTAATAAGTTTGGAAGACATTTGGATTCTATAAGAAGGGAAATTTGTAATTCATGAAGTACAGCGGTAGCGTGATAAATCTTAACACTCAGCTGGTGAGACAGCATAGTGACACCTATGCAGACGACGAGGAGTCTGTGGTACTAATACAGCTAGCACAAGCAATAACATGCATTATTTTTTCCTTTCTTCGAACCTAATCTTTTAACCTTCTATGAGTGGTCATCATTAATCTATAATCATTACTCCATTATTTTATATGTGCTTAGCTCCAAGCATGGTTACTGATTGACAAGGAGCACTATTATCTGAAAAGAAAATAACTTGTATCTTGCAGGGATTTTTGAACATTTTCCATTGGCGACAGCTGAAATCTGCAAAAGAAACCTGTATTAGAGGAGAAAGTAGAAGAAAGAGAGGACGTAAGCTGTGCTCTGCACATCTATGTCTCTGTGGAACAGCTCCAATCCTCCAGCTGGGCACAGACACTGGCTCCTCTCCCACTTACAACTAGCTGATTAAAACTGAGCTGCAGGTCCCTCCGCAGCTTCACTCACCTTCATATCCAAAAAACTGTTATTTTTAGTATTCTGTCTTTACATTTTATCCTTATGATTTGGTTGTGCTCCTTCTGCAAAAAAATAAAGTGAAGATCTGATAAACAAACAACAGAGCAAATTTAAAATGATTAATGCTAAATCTACTGGTTGTATATGGCTAATTGGCACATATCGGTAATACTGTGACATGTGGTTTATAGTCCTGGAAAAAGCTAGTACATGGACATTTACTGTCAGACCTCACCCTCTCCTTTTACCTATCCATCCCTCCTGTTGTCCTCACCAGCTGATTTCCATTGAACACAACTCTGCAGGAGAAAATGTCCACAATGTCCTTCTGCTACATCACCCTGTAATGAGATTCAGAGGCAGTAGATTCTAATTAAATTTGATTGGATAGGGTTAAGATTTAAACCGTGGACTTAATAAGTAAAGAGAGAGTAAGAGAGAGTGGATGATACTCACTAAAATCCAGCCAAGCGGCAACCATGGCTGAAGTGCCTTTAAGGCGTAGTCTAATCCAAGGAACCCTTTTGAGGTACAAAATGAAATGTTCTTTGTCCACAACAAGTTAGTGTTTTGTTTGGTTAATATCATGTCTTTTCGAGTGTGCCGGGATACTCCTGTAATGTAGTATGGAACTTTAATAAATCTTAGACTCACAGATTTAAAAAACAATGATCAAGCTTGACAACATTAATTGACAACAGCCAAGTTAGCAATAACGACGTCTGGTTGGACTTGATGATCGCAGTTTAGTTTAATTCTTTAAAAACTTACTGGGTGCTTCAATGATCAAATTTGGTAACTTATTGCACATTGTGATGGCTCTATGCATTACAGATCTAAGCACTGCAACTGTTCTAGGTTTTTATATAACCCCTAGTTGTCTGCCTGGTAATGATGTAGATATGTTTGTCTGACTTCAACAGCACATCAAAACATAACACCAGACAGGCGTGTAGTAGGAAGTAAAACACAAATCCATAAAAAAATTGCAATTCTCCATTTTCATTCAAGTAAAGGGAAGTCATTTTACATCAGGTTACACAGTCAGGTTACCCCCCCCTGCTGATTATTTTGCTTGAGTTTCTCAAAATTATTGTGTTTAGGCTGTGTGACAAGCAAAGTCTCTTCTCATCACCAGCAGGCCCAGCCAGTCCCACAGCCAAAACACAATCAGTCTCTCTCTGGAATCTAACTTGTGTTTGCAGCTTTAGAGATGGGTTCTTTCTTTCTTTCTTTCTTTCTTTCTTTCTATGCTGAATTGTCTTCTTTGGTAAGTGTAAGTTATTCATCAGAGCTCTTGTTCTCTCTTCTGTGTGTGTATCTGTTGTAGAACTATTACAAGGAGCAACCTGCATACGATCCAAGCTCGTGTTTTCTCCAAGAACCCCCACCTGCGCTACATGTGAGTACACACAAAGGCAAACATTAACAGTATGCTTTCATGCATAAATACAGAAATACATGCTGTCTCCAATGCCCATTCTTGAACATGAACAAAGACCTGCGTATGTCCTGGAAAAGACTACAAACACACATGCACACACAGTGGTCTGCAGCAAGGCAGTAATTGAATCAACTTAAGGACATACCTTTGTGGGTTGAGGACAAAGCAATGACGATGTCAGCACTGGAGCTTTAATGGCTTACTAATGCTGAAAATAAACAACACTTGAGAGCATTTGCAAATGGGAATTTCTCCAAACAGGACTACTTTAAGTCTTTTTCCAAAAGCATGTTTTTGAAAAGAGGTATCAAAATCTATAATCATCTATAAATTAGGGTATTATTAAAACATACTGCCTGTCCAATAGCAAATGCAAAAGCACTTACTAATATGATAGTTATTCATGTCATATTAATTAAAAAGACTGCTGTGGGATAACTTTTTGGTGGGTGATCCAGAGGTGAAGTGGCCAAACCAATGGAAAGTAGGGTAATAAGATGTTTGAACAAAGTTTCACAGTAAGTGGGAAATAGGTTTAGTTGAGTTTGTAATAGAGGAGTATCACTGTGAGGCAGACAGGATCTGTCAAATAGAGAGGATTCTCACTGCAGAGCCAATGGGTGGAACCGGACCTAGTCCAGCTCCGCAGCACACCAAGGCTAAGTCAGCCTTTCATAGGCCTTTTTCCACCAACAAGAACTGGCTGTGTTCCGGTTTGCACACCTAGTTTTTTTTTTTTTTTCTGTTGATAAGGCATACAATTATAATGGTTCCACTCAAAATTGGTTGAAATATGGGATTTTTCTAGATAGCACCAAGGTTATAAGAATCTTGAACGGAACTGCTGATATGCCTTTTCTCTGTTGATGACGCACCAAGGTTCCAAGAATCTTCAATGGAACCGGTTCGAGAACCAGAGCTAACTTGGTGAAAGAAACACTAACAGTGAACCGAACAGACCCTCAGAAATCCACGCGTTTGGGGAATGGAGCTGAATCTTCCTATATAGGCCCCGCCCACTTCCGCCTATAATTTTTTTTCGTTAGAGCACGAAATGTCCTTAAACTACTTTTCACGTAGCCCCTGGGGACCGCCCTGGCAAAAAAAGTAATTTGAACATTTTTGAAATTTCAAAAAGTAAGCACGCTATAAAATTCAAACTTCCTGTACATTTTTCGCAAAAAAGGAAGTGGACCATTTCTCCACATTGGTATGACTGATTGTCACCAAACTTTGGTCCATAGTTCCTTATGTCTTTCTTAGGCTTCGTGCACAATTTCAGGTCATCGCCACTCTGTGGCGCTCTTTAAAATGAAGAAGTTTATATCTCACGTGTGATTAAAATGAAACTTGGTAAGATGATTGCCCATGGCTCCCTGAGGCTCACTTAAAAAGGACAAAAAAAATGTGCCACTAGGTGGCGCTCTTTTGGCATGATAAATCACTGTGCGGTGACCATAATAGTTATGAATATGAAATTCACAGGGCACGTGTAGACTGGTACCTGAAGCTCACATACCAAAAATCGTGTTTGTCGTGTTTGTAACGCCCCCTATACGATAAACAAACAGCAGCCCCGGCGCCACGTTTCATCGATATGTACGAAACTTGGTAGGCACATGTAACATGCCAGGACGTATAAAAAAGCCTCTTGGACCCATACCCGAAACCCCACAGGAAGTAGGCCATTTTGATTTTGATTTTCACTTTCGGCAAACTTTTTGCGTTGTATTTGAACAAACTCCTCATAGGGAATTTATCAGATATGCTTAAAAATTTGTGAGTACAGTCAAAAAATGGTGCTGATTAAAAGTTGTGCTATTTGTGCATGTACGTTGAAGGGCGTGTCCGTAGCGTGCGGTCAAAGTTGGCCAATTTGAATTCCGTGCGCATTTTCAGTGAATTTTTCGCCTTGTATTTGAATGAACTCCTCCTAGGGGATTTATCGGATCTACTTCAAAATTGGTCAATACAGTCAAAAAATGGTGCTGATTAAAAGTTGTGCTATTTGTGCATGCACATTAAAGGGCGTGTCCGTGGCGTGGCATCAAAGTCAGCCATTTTGAATTCCGTGCTCATTTTCTGTGATTTTTCGTGTTGTATTTGAACAAACTCCTCCTAGGGAATTTATGCGATCTACTTCAAAATTAGTCAGTACAGTCACAAAATGGTGCTGATTAAAAGTTGTGCTATTTGAGACTGTACGTTGAACGGCGTGTCTGTGGCGTGAGGTCAAAGTTGGCCACTTTGAATTCTGTCGTCATACAAACTGAAAAGTTGAGCTATTTGTGACTGTACATCAAACCGCGTGCCAGTGACAACTTGTCGATTTCAGCAGATTCGCCATAAAATAGTGCTCATAACTTCAGTGTGCAATGTACAATCTCCAATAAATTTAATAAATTCTGAAACAGTTTTCCCTTAAACACGTCCTCATAACTTCAGCGTACGTGGACCAATCTCAATGAAACTTCATGTGTTTGATAAGTCTCGTCTTGAACATGTCTACATGACAACATTCAGACATAGTGATAGCGCCAACTACTGGCAACAGGAAGTAAGCGCCGCGTGGCGATTTTGAGCTGATTTACGTGAGATTTTCATGTTGTGGTCCGTACGTGTTAGGACGGCACGTGACGCGGCCGCAGCACGCCCCGAGTTGCGTGGAGAGCGAGGTCACGCTCAATACTGCTCGCAGCTTTAATTTTATTTATTGCTTGTGCCATTGTAGTGGATTGTATTACACTGTATATGTGTTAATCGTATTCCAATGCAGATCTACTTGATCATATTTTTATGCTAGTTGGGTTTGCAGCTAACGCTAGTGCGAGTTGATTTGGTTCCCTAAAAAGCTCTTTTACCTTTAGTTTCCTGCTAAAGCCATAACAATAAAATGTATTATTCTATATGTAATGGAGTATTTTATACCTACGACTACATCTTCAAACTTTTCATCAAAGATTTATGCTTATCTTTTGTGTAACATGAATAAAACATAGCTTCCATATAGGGTTCCCAACCTCAGCTGACTTTTGTGTTTTCTGTATTTGAAACCTTGGAGTAGAGTCTTTCCTTTCTTTTTACAAAAAAATTGTGCATTTGTATTTCACAGTTCACAATTTCATATCAGTCTTATTTAGCGCTGTGTAAAAACTGTTTGTGCCTAACTAGTATAACTGTAGAGGCCTTTGTCTCTAAGTGCCATCTTTGTAGTCTTGGGAACTTAGTCCAAATTATCAGCGTTCATTGTGAGTAAAAAAGGCACATAGTGGTGGCTATAGAAAAAAATGTTTTGCATTAGACTTATGAGATAACCTTATCTTATCATGCAGGGAACAATACTGTCATCCAGAGAGTCTTCCATTATTATATGGAAAGACGTATGAATGGACCCTCAAACAGTGGTGAATGTATCCACAGTTGCCAGACAAGTGTGAATGAAGCAAGGGCTTTAAAATATCCGTGAAGTTCAAACTAATCTGCATTTTTATTACAGGAATGGAAATATATATATATGTGTGTGTGTGTGTCTAAAAATCACCTATACACCAGTATCTGTCCTTGCCTGAAAAACAATAGAAAGTTGTTGACTAATAGCGTTTGGTGGCGTAACACACAATCAATGCTACTGGCTACTGTGAATGCCAATCAGTCAAAATCAAAAATCTAATATTTGATATTTGATTCCATATTTCAAAGACTTAATCGAAAATGTAAACAAGTAATCAAATACCAACCCCCAAAAGTGCTGCTACTGTATATTCTTGGGGTACATTCCCTTTGTATTGCTACACTGCAAGATTTATGCTCCCGTCCACTTACCTGTACTGCAAGGTAACATTTGACAGGGCTATCTCAACAACTGTTCATCTGATCGATTCACACATGTATATAGAACCCAAGTGCCTGGTCACAGCAGCTACCTCCCAAGTTTAATGTCAAATGCTGTCAAAGACATGAATTTATTCATAAAAATATTGTGTTGAAAAATGTAAATGACCACATATGACTAAATCAACTTAATTCTTTTATGGCCCCATTTTAAACTAAATGATGACCTTTAGATATTTCTATTCATTGCTTTACTAATATGCCATAATGATGTTTTTGAGTTTATATCTTCATTTGGAGGATTTTCCAAGCAACTATTGATATTTGACTGGTATTTGATTAAATAGGCCTATACTTCTGCCACTCCTTAAAGTCTCCATGCCACCTTCTGGACACCCCATTAATATTACTTTAAATCCACCCCTGCTCTACGAACATTTACTGCACTGGGATCGTCTCGGCTCCTGGTGCCACATGTTGAAGTATCCTTGAGCAAGATACTGAACCCTGAATTGCTCCCGATGCTGTGCATCGGTGTGTGAATGTGTATGAATGTTAGTTTCTGTTCGATGGGCTTTGCTATCACTGTGTGAAAGGGTGAATCTTTTACACGTAGAGGTCGGAAGACTAGAAAGGCGCTATACAAGTACAGGCCCGTTTACCATTTACCATTTACCTGGACCAGAATCAACGCATAGCAATACATGTGAAGACAAACACACTATAATGTGAATCTAGATGCATTAATATGGAAATAATTGCTGTGTGGTAGAAATATGAAAGTACAAGCAAGAACAGTAATGATCATACATGCAGCCGATATACAAACACTAACAGCAGACATTATTAATTATTCAACACCCTGTAACATCTAATCACCTCTACTACAATGAATGTGTATATATTCGCTCTGTTCTTTGCATGATTGCAACCAATGTAATATTAGTGCCTTTAGAATGACTAAGCAGACTGAAGTAAATCCTCTGCATTCTTTAATTAAAAGGTAACTACACCCTCACATTCTGCTCGATCCCTGCTCCCAGGACACTTGTAAAGATCTTCTCTTTCATACAAGATTTGGCAAAAACGTGTATATTTTCTTGGAAAGACTGAGATTTTAAAGCTCT